ACACCTCTTCGAATAGCGAAGGTCGGCAGGACTCGTGAAAAGACACGAGAAACGGTACTTCCTCGTCCTTCTAGATGCTCAATCAGGGCGCGGAGCTCCGGATCGTCTCGTTGAAGTCCTGCCATGTCGTTGGTGTCCACGGCACCTAGGAAACACTCGTCATCATCCACGTCGGTACAGTCTGGCGTTTCGACGGGGGCTCTGGACAAGCAGTCGGCGTCGCTATGTTTCCGTCCTGACTTGTAGACTACGGTCATGTCAAATTCTTGAAGTCGAAGACTCCATCGAGCCAGGCGTCCTGAAGGGTCTTTGAGGTTTGCAAGCCAACAGAGCGAGTGGTGGTCTGTGACCACCCGGAACGGGTTCCCGTATATGTACGGACGAAACTTTGTGATCGCCCATACAACCGCGAGACATTCTTTTTCCGTCGTGGAGTAATTTTTCTCCGCTTTTGACAGTGTCCGACTTGCGTAGGCAATAACTCGCTCCGTGCCTTCCTGTAGCTGTACCAATACCGCACCAAGGCCGGAGTTACTTGCGTCCGTGTGAATTTCGGTTTCGGCGTGCTGGTCGAAATGTCCGAGGATCGGAGGTGTCTGAAGTCTTTGTTTCAGTTCGTCGAACGCCCGTTCTTGTTCTTCTGCCCAGTGAAACTTCACGGCGTCTTTCGTAAGATGTGTGAGGGGCGCCGAAATTTTTGCGAAATCTTGAACGAAGCGCCTGTAGTACGCGCACAGCCCCAGGAATCTGCGGATGGCCTTCTTGTCCGATGGTCGAGGGAATACGGCTACGGCGGATGTCTTCGCGGGGTCAGGGCGTACTCCTTCGCTACTAACGACATGACCAAGGAACTTAAGTTCGGCGTAGGCGAAGCGGCACTTCGTTGGCTTGAGTGTGAGCCCTGCGGTCTTGATGGCTTGGAGCACGGCCCTAAGCCGTTTCAAGTGCTCGTCGAAGTCGTGCGAAAAAACGACGACGTCATCCAGGTAAACGAGGCAGCTCTGCCACTTCAGTCCCGTTAGTACAGTATCCATGACCCGCTGGAAAGTCGCCGGCGCCGTACAGAGTCCGAAGGGCATCACCTTGAACTCGTAAAGTCCATCGGGCGTGACGAAGGCAGTCTTCTCGCGGTCCCGTTCATCGACCTCAATCTGCCAGTAGCCACTCTTCAAGTCCATCGACGAAAAGTACCGGGTGTGGCGTAAACGGTCGAGGGTGTCATCTATGCGGGGAAGCGGATAGACATCTTTCTTTGTAACAGCGTTCAGCCGCCTGTAGTCCACGCAGAACCTAAGGGTTCCGTCTTTCTTCTTCACCAGCACGACTGGAGAGGCCCACGGACTGCTTGAAGGCTGAATAATATCGTCGTCGAGCATTTCTTGAACTTGTTTCTGGATGGTTTCCCTCTCCTTCACCGAAACTCGGTACGGCGACTGATGAATAGGGGGCACGTCATCGTCAGTAACAATTCGATGCTTCGCAACCGCTGTTTGGCGTAGCCTTGACGATGTGGCGAAGCACTCACTGAACTCAGCGAGAATGTCAGTCAGCTGTCGTCGTTGTGGGCCTGGGAGGGATGGGTCGATGTCGAGCTTTGACGGCGTGGTTCCCTTGTGGTGCGTCGGAGAGGCGTCTTCTGAGATCACGGCGATGGCGGCCGAGTCCTGAATTTCCTCGACGTAGCCCACAGCTGTACCCTTTGTAAGGTGCTGCGACTCTTGCCGGAAGTTGGTGACAAGGGCTACGGTACGCCCGTCCTGGAGCTCGGTTACGCCTCTTGCAATACCAATCCCTCGTCCAAGGAGAAGTTGGACGCTTCCTTCCAACAGTGCTATCCCGCAGGTGGCTTCGTCGGTCCCGACGGGGACAAAGACACTGGACAGCGGCGGCAGGTTTACGTGGCTGGTAAGGACTCGCACTGCAGCTAACGTCGCTTTGGGATCTTCCGCCGAGGGAACAGGTTTCCGAAGCGTCAGCTTGTTCTCCCCAAGGTCGATGATGGCGCCGTATTCACACAAAAAGTCCATTCCGAGAATGACGTCTCTCGAACAGTCTTGCAGAACGACGAACTTGACAGGGCAGGTTTCACCATGGATCTCAACGCGAGCAGTGCACCTGCCGACAGGCGTGATGAGGTGTCCGCCGGCGGTTCGTATCTGTGGTCCATCCCACGACGTCGTAACTTTCCGAAGGCGACGAGAGAGTCTCCCACTCAAAACGGAGTAATCCGCTCCGGTGTCGACGAGTGCTGTCGCGTCGTGGCCGTCGATGATAACGTTGAGGTTGTTCGACACTGTTACAGAAACGTCGTTTCGGGGCGTTGCGGCGTTAGAGTGGGAGAGCTCCGACGATCTTGGAGGATCTTGGCATCGTTCGTCTTCGGCAACACCACCTCCCGGCATTGCCGCGCCTAGTTTTCCCGACGGGACGCAATGGGTGACAGGCTGTCTCGGCGAGACCGGCGGAAGGGCGATGGCGAGCGTCGGGGAGATGGCGAACGGAATACTCGGCGGGGAGACGACTCAGGAGTTGAAGAGCGGCGGAGGTAGTCCTCGATGTCCCGAGGTCGCTCTCCAAGACGTGGTCGAGGGTCGTTGGGCGCGAACCCTCGTAGGCCGAGCTGGCGGTAGGGGCATCGTCGGTAGATATGGTCGGCTTCCCCGCAGTGGTAGCACAACGGGCGTCGATCAGCCGTCCTCCACACGTCGGTCTTCCTTGGCGCAACTTGTTCTGGACGAACGTGTGCCCGATCTTCCTGGCGTCGGGAATGCTGCGGCTCTGGAAGCACACGTCCGGGAGGCGCCATGTACGGACGCGGTGCTGATGGTGCTCGGCGGAGCATTTCGGCGTAGCTTACGGCTGGCTCCTGCTGTGCTGCTGCGGTGACGGCAACCTCGGGATGGAAAGCTCGGTGAACTTCCTCTCGGACGACGTCGGCGAGTGAGAGTGAGGCTGGGCGATCTGCAGCAGGTAGAATCTTCCGGAGCTCTTCCCGGACGATATCCCGAAGGCTGTCGACACCGGTGGTGCTCAGGTCCGGAAGTGTAGCTGCGACGGTTGGAGAAGTAGGCGCGCCGGCGAGTCGGTGGTAGTGGCTTGCTCGGGCCGTCAGTGCGCGCTCGATGTTCGTGGCTTCACTCACAAATGCATCGACGGTCGTCGGGGGATTGCGAACCAGGCCTCCAAAAATTTCTGCCTTGACGCCTCGCATGAGGATTCGAAGTTTCTTTTCCTCAGCGGCCTCCGGGTCTGCTCGGGCACTTAGACGCAGAACATCCTCTACAAAGCTGGTCAGGCTTTCATTGGGGCCCTGCAACCTTGTTTGAAGCAGGTCCTCTGCTCGCTGGCGACGATGGTGGTTAATGAATGTTCGTTTGAGTTCGGCGACGCAGGACTCCCATGTGGGGAAGGAGGCTTCGTGGTTTTCAAACCAGTGCCTCGCAGTGCCTTCAAGCGAGAAGTAAAGGTTGTGGAGGCACTGCTCAGTCGTCCATCCGTTGTGGCGGGCTACACGTTCGTAGTTTCGCAGCCAGTCTTCGATGTCTTCGTGGATCTCCCCGTGGAAAGGCGTCGGAGTCCGGGGTGCGACGGGCAGGACGACGACTCTGGCGGTGGACGGGTTCTGCGACAACTGGCTGTCCATCGTTGGTCTCGTTGGCTGCTTAGTCTTGGGCGGCAGAGGTCCGAATTCCGGGTGTAGGCCTTGGGTGCGACGACTGAACCGGATCTCGGAAGTGCTTTCGTTGGTTCTTCGTGGACTAGGCGTCGGACTTGGACTGCGGGCCCTCGGAGGGGTACGCGGCAGGGGCATGCGGTACCCCGCACCTCCACCAAAATGTCACGGGTGGTGACCAAAAGAAACAATAAATACACAGAAAGAAATAGACGTTTAATGTGGCGAACTTGTGCCAAAAATAAAAGGAAATAGAAAAATAACAACAGAGCGTCGCGGGCGTCGAAGGCGGCGAAGCAGCAAGGTCGAACGCTGAGGCGAAACTGACTCGACAAGGTCGCGGGCGGCCTCTTATCTAGAGTGCGTCGCTATCTCGAAGATTCGGCGAAAGCGGCTCGAGCGTCGCGTGATCGGGCGAGAATGAACACGCACTTTCTAGAAAACAAAAGCAGGAATAAATGAGAGAAGTTACATGCGGTACATGAATAAACGAGAACTTTCTGGAGGTCCGTGACTGAGCGTTGCTTTCTCAGCCCTGGGCGCGGCAATATTTGCTTTCAGCGTTTTAGGAGCCGCGCTTGCGCTTGTGCGAGTGCGCAACCGTTGCCTCTGGGAGGGTCATCTTCCAAACAACACTTTGCGAGCTGGTCAGGTCGCTGGGATTGCTAGGCTATGCAGTGCTGCTCCGTTTTTCTTTTTTTCCCGCCAGCACGATGGCCTTTCGTCTAAATAAAGCCTTCTAATGTATTTTTTTTTTCCCATGTTAAAACATGTTTTTCATGTTTTTCCCATGCTACTGGTACGGATACCAAAATGGCGAATGTAAACGAACAGTCACGATGGCGATGGCTGACCCACCTGATTACATTTTTCTTTAGAGCTTTAGTTTTCGGTTTCGATTGTAACGCTAATGTAGTTTCGGGCACCGATTTTGGTGAAAAAATGCGAGAATTAGGAATGCAAACACGGTAGGTGTCCGGCTAACAAGACTAGACATGCTGCCAAACAAGGACATAAACGTTGACGATGCTATAACATTTCATGCATGCAACACAATTGCCTAGCAATTTGCCATACACCTCTATGAAAACATGTCACAAAGTGCACTTAAAGTATATTTTTAGTTTACTAATAGCACAATACTAAAGATATATTTCCGAAACATATGCACTTCAGCTGCTAGACTGGGTCGGCGCACAAACCGCACCACTAAAACATGAAGTACACCGAAAGAATCTTAAAAGTACTTTCCGCTTGACAGAAGTACTAAGTTCGCATATTTTTAGCGCATTGCTTTTACCGAGGGTGGGGAGGTTGGGCTAGAGATTTACGATAGGCTCAAGTATGGCAACGTCACGGGTCGCGTTAAAACTGGTGCCCCGTTCACGAACCGGAGACGCTCACCTGAGCTCTCCGCGGCGACGGAGTCGGTCTCGTCTTCGGGCGGACACGCAACCAGGTGCGCCGCAAAGAGGATCCTCAACCGGTCGTCCATGTCCCCTCGGCAGACGAGGCCGAGCAGACGGCAGAACTCGGCCAGGCTGACCCACCCGTCCCCGTTGTCGTCCAGCAGACGGAACACCTTTGCGGCGAATAGAAAGAAAAAGAGAAAAGAATATGCGGGCTCATTGCCGCACCCCGCAAATAAGATGACGGAGGGAGCCGCTGTGCTTTCCGACCTGCGATACATTTGCACCGTGTGAGAATGACTCGTACCAGAGCTTCCTTGCGCATTTTTGTGCTATATTTTAGGGGTGTGCGAATACCGAATAGTAGTTTTCGAATCGGATACCGAATCGAATTAAGAAAAAAAAAGCCGAATATCGAATCGAATATCGAATAGTGATTTTATTTGTAGGAATATTTCAAAGCGTGCTGCAAATGAGATTATTATATGTGCAGAGTATGCGCCTGGTGCAGAATATGCATCTCATATGGAACAAAAGCTCAAATGTATAAAAGTTCTGGTAAAAAAAAAAAAGAAAAAAAAAGCAGCTGCTCATGGACATTGGGCACTAAAGATCCAATTTTATGGCGCAAACATAATCTATCTACCCTAAACGTCACAAAAAACGCAAAGTTACAGCCACGCGTGCCTTTTCTTCTCGTTAAACACTCAACCCAACACCGCAACATTTAAATTTTTTTTTTTTTTTATATCTGTATATCTCAGAAAAGGGGCATTTTACGATAGTTGGTCTTAATCTTAATGGAGAAAAAGGGCGCCCGGGATTTTATTTCACATGAATAAACAGACAGGTTCTAAATCTGAATAAACACGCCTAAATAATATAATCTGAAGTAAGAAAAAGAAAAACACGTGGTTAGGTGGCGCAAGTCGCCGTCCAACTGCCGCTATGCATCCCTTCCTCTGCCCATCTATCCTGTTTTAGAGAGCCTGGATTTAAGAGAAGGAGCAAGCGAAACTGAAACCATGAAGACGGATCCAGCGCAGATTAGTCGTAAGCAGTGGCGTCACAAGGGGGCGGCGGGGGGGGGGGCGGTTTTGTGAGACACGCTTGTCTCGAGAGACAGGCTTGTCTCAGGAGACAGGCTTCCGAGTTTCGGCAACCCTAGTCGCTTACCCTCTGGCCCAGGTGTCTTGAGCGCTCTCCGATGCCCCAGGGGCCCAGCGCTCCGAAGAAGGGCACAAACTGCTCCAGGTCCAGATGGAACTGCTCCCCGTACGTGAACATGGGGTCGTTGGGGGGAGACGCGGGGCCGCGACCCCAGCTGTGCTGCGACAGCTGCTGCTCCTGCAGTCGAGCAACGACAGGCAGTCAGCACCCAAAGTCGAGCAAACACGGGCTGTCGGCTCCCCAAGTCGAGCGACGACGGGTAGTAAACTAGCAAAGTCCAGCAACATGGGCAAGATGGCACTGGCTGTCGGTGCACATCGTGTCCGTACCTGCTGAATTCAGCTGTGCAAAAACTTTATGGCGAATTGCTAGGCAATGTTATCGCGTACGTGAAACGTTCTGGCTTCAGAAACGTTTAGCGACACCCCCAGTTTCCAGACCTAGACGCCTACGTTCACAGCGCTCTTCATGAGATAGTTTAACGTGTGCCACGTGTACACATGAAAGTTGTTCCTAGAATGAAGCTATACTTCCGCTAATCAGGCTGATAAACCTGGCGATCTTCCAGAGCCTTTCATACTCTCCAGCTTCTCTTTCCCCGTGCACACAGGTGGTGGAGCTCCTCCGTGCCTAACCCTCTGGTCACCTGACCTCCCCGTTAACCAATCAGCATAGAGCACCTCACCCTTGTCCCACCCATCAACCAATCGGTGTCGAGCTCTGCGGCTGCACGAAATACCAACCACCTAGCCAAAGAATGTGTCACGTTAAAACTCATAATCCGCCACTTTTGACTTTCAAGATGCATTGGCTTTTTCTGAGGTTCAGCTAAAGACTACTCGAAACAAAATACAAATTGAGCTTGTAGGTATAAATCGACAAAAAAAGTTCTGGTTTCATGGTGATAATGGTCAATGTGTTACAATAACGTCTGCCACATTAAGATATAAAAATCCAGAAGGTCCGGCAACCATGGCAGTGGCACGGACTGCCCGGACGCAAAACAGCGTAGAAATATATTATCTCACCCTGATGAGGGCCACGAGATCCAAAAGCTCCTTGTGCGTCATGTATGACGAGATGCTGGCATCCAGGCTCAGACTCCGAAGCACGTTTTTCATGGTTGTGTCCTGGAGGCCCTGTGTCCAAGTGTGAAGTCACATTTAGCCAATCCGGTCGTCTCACACATCACGTCACACACCCAGACGCGTGTAATGACAAGAATAAGGGCAAGAATGCCACATATCAGTCTCGCAATGCTCAATTTTTTTAACAATGTGCATTTAAGGCAACGTTTTACACGCCCTTCCTATTGATACTTATTGTGCTTCACGTTACGGAGCATCTGGCAAAGGGATCACTTCTGGATTTGAACATCAGCAATAAAATCAACAGATAGATTGAAACGTGTACATAAACTGATGCATTACAACCCAAACAAAACACGACACCTTACTTCATAACTTCAACGAGATGTTTGAGCATAGGGTAACACACTAGAGCGAAAGAAGACCTACATCGCTGGAGCTCTTTGTTTTTTTATTTTAAGGAAACAAAAACATTTAGAAGCTCTACTAGGTAGTAAATCTATGAATACGCAGCAAGCGGACCTAAGAGTCCTGTAGAGGCGAGTTCAGAGGTGCGAATGACATTGCCTGAACGTACCTGCACAACGCTGAGCCTATGTTTGATACGAAGCTTCTCGATCATGCCGGACGTCAGGAAACCGTACTTGCTGTACGACTCGTAAACGAGCGTCGAGATCTCGACAGGCTCCTGCAAAGATGAAACGCGAAAAATATTCTTCTCGTGTGACGAGAACCAACAACGCTTGCGCCGTTAACTCCCATAATTTCGGGAGACCATGCAGACGCAAGTCATAGGAAAAGGTAAGGTCTAACGAAAAATTATACGAGGACATTTCTGAAAAGTGCTGCTACACCAAGGTCCGACACCATTAGCTACCTAGTGTCAGTCTTGCACACAATACTCAATTACAATTATTCTTGCTTATAAAAGATTCAATTAGACAATACCGTATTTACTCGCATAATGAACAGACATTTTTTACCGAAAAATTGAGAGACAAATTTGGGGTGGGGGGCGTTCATAATGCAAGGTAAAATTTTTGTATTTACACACTTCGTGCAAATGTCATATTAGGTGCCAATATGACACGGCAAGGTACTGTAGCACGTCTCCACTGATAGAGGCGCAGCCACAGATGGTTGGGGACAGACCACATTAGCCATGCTTTATAAAATGCAAACCTTTTTTAGGGCACTTTTGGCGTGCCTTTTGCCGAAGGAAAAGCGCCCTACGAAGCTCACTCAGCACGCAGAGCGATACGACCGTTCTTAAGCCTAACCACTTTCACTCACTGTCCGAAAGCAAACCACAGACGACGGCGTGTTTGTTGACATCAACGCATCTGATAGGCGAAGGATGTCCGGGGCTGGGCAATTCCTCAACCCAGCTTCGTCAAGTGTGCGCGCCGCTCGCTTTCACGATTCATCACTTCCAAAACTACACACTTGTAGCCATTACGAGAGCAGCTTGGCTTGGATTGGCCTGACTTGGCCTGATCGCTTGGTGGCAAAAGAAAATTGACTTGGTGAGTTGGACTCAATTCGAGACTTGCGGAGCCGAAAATTGGAGCTGCATTCATTACGGGATGGGAAAAAAAGAACTTAAATATTGGTACCCGTTGTCGGGGGTCCGTTCATTATGCGGGTGCATTCATATGCGAGTAAATACGGTACTCTATTACTTGAAAAGAAAAGCAATTGGTCGTTACCTGAAAAGTAACCGTTACTTCTCAGACATTTTCAGATTTTCAAAACGCAAAGTTTCCTGCCAGTTTGGAAACGGTTATTTCGTACTGTCCTTCATGGGATTAGAATCACCAAATTATAAACTACTTTTCTTCTTGATCCACCAATTTTGATAAACCATCATCCTCTGTCAGAGATATGGTTTGAGGGTTCCTTGCTAGGAAATTTGTACAAAGAGCACCATTAGAAGCGGGAGAGAAAAAAAAAAGAGAAGGTTACACATTATTTTAGTACTTCCAAAAGTAATCAGATTACTGCTCAGATTACTCCCTAATAAATGCTATAAAATTACAAAACTACTTCAAAGAGTAATCGATTACAAGCGATTTGACTACTCGAAATGACTACTGCAAAAGTCTCGCTAGTGTTAATACAGTAGCTCGAAAGCGTCACTACACCAATCGCTAGGGTGAATACGCTAGCACTGAAGTGTTACTATGCCAAGAGCCAACATAGGCAGAAACGACGGCATGGCCTCGACCGTAGGCTTGCTGTGCCCCGTCAAAAACGGCGCTTAAGGAGCCAACAGGGGCGGTGACCTTTCCGGAAGCGGGTATCTGCCGGGCGCAAACCGTGGCCATCGGGTTGTGGATGTTCTCGAGGTACTCGCAGAGCGCCATCATGGCCTCCCCGTCGTCTTTGCACCGCAGCAACCGCTCCTGGTTGGCCTCCAGCACCGCCAGCGCCACTTGGAACACCACCTGGCCGAGTTGGCAAAAGGTCGAGCAACCAAACGCAAACTCGAAGCAGACGCACAAATTTTTTTTACGGGCTCGACCACGCCGACAGGGCATAGAATGTGTCAAACACAAATCACGCTCTGTGCGACGTGTGTGCTAGATTATTTTTTCTTTCAACGTGAGTTGCTCCGGATTTTGTGCAGCCGCATTTCGTGAAGCTGTGGCCTGCGACGTCCCATAACGCAACGAGCGCAGTGCAACATCATGGGACGTCACAGACCCACACACCAATTCAGTTTCTCCGCTAGATTTAGCAGGGAAGTTGAATTCGTGTACAGGCAGAAGAAGACAATTTACCCGCTAAAATTAGCGGAAATATTTGTGTCCCGTGACCTACAGACCAATTCAGTTTCCCCGCTAAATTTGGCGGGGAAATTGACGTCGCGGGACCGATGTCTAGTGATATATACGGCATTTAGGTTTCTCCTTTAAATTTAGCTGGAAAATTATCGTCACGTGAAAAACAGACCAACTAAGTTGCCTCGCTAAATCTAGCGGGGAAATTGACGTCACACTGCCTGATGTCACAGATGCTAAAACATTTCACGAATGCAACACAATTGCCCAGCAATTTGCCATACAATTTTTATTACCTACTTTTCTATCTTCTTTGTTTTATTATCTTCGATTTTATGAAGTTCATTTCTATTTCTTTTTATTATTTCATTTTTACTCATTTATCAATGCAAATTCACGCAAATAAAATTGTTTCCTCTCCCAGGGCAGCTGTGCAACGCAGCTCACTGACTATGCTGTCAGACTGCCACTGCACGGGCCCAGGCTGGAGCCCCGGTGGGGCGTCTTTCTTACGTCTATTTGACTCGGGTCTTTGCGAGCTTTACATAAAACCTTGAAGAAGCGCGACGCACCCAGCGCGTCACTCGTTCACGACACTTGCCCCACGACGGTTGTCCACGACTATTTTCTCGTAGAAAACGGCGCGTGAATGCATTCCGCGTTAAAAGGAGGCCTTCTTTACGCATCTCTGAAAGGTGTTCTAAAGGTGCGGCGTTTAGAACGCCTTCGTTCGTGTACGCCCAAAACCGGTCTTCTGTCGCGCATGTTACATGGCGTGCCAAACCGATTGTTTGCGCACTGTTGTGCCCGCCCCCCCACCCCCCCCCCCCCCCCAGGTAGCGCAACTCTTTCAGCCGTTCACTGCTGGCTCTCGGACTCCTACGTGGCATCTTTGGTTCAAGCCCGACGCTTTGGCAATCGAGTAGCGAGCATAGGAAAGTAGAAACGCCAAAGGAAAGCACTTTGGCACCAACTAACGGCCTGGAGCAGAGCCGTGTTAGGTAAGTAGGATTGCCCACGGCCCCGACACAAGCCCCGCAGGCAAGAGCGTTCGTAGTGCGTGCAGTCTGCTCTGCCGCCACCGAACAAGCGCAAAAAAAGAAAATCCCCGCTCCGAGAGTGCTCGCACACTCTGCGTGCAATCGGCGAGAAAAGAACAGGTACAGTGTTAAAAATTGAGGACAATGAGGGCGGTAACCTTCGGCTCAAGCACCGTGTACCCAAAAAAGCGTGAGCAATTTTCAGTGAAACACGAGAAAAAACGGGCAAGACGTCGGCTGCGGCCCGTGCACTGACCTTGGCGCCGTCGTAGAAGAAGCAGTCCACGATGTTGACGGCGCATTCGAAGGGGATGACGCTGGAGGAGACAGAATGCAAAAATGTTCCAAAAGCCGGGATTCATGATTAAAAACAAATACCTCCGACTTGCATAACAATATCAACATTTATCAGACGTTTCGTCTCCTATACGGGAGACATCATCAGTGCGGCCTGGGAACACCCGACTAGCTACCAGGAATCCAACGCTTCATTGGAGCGTTGGATTCCTGGTAGCGTTGGATTCCTGGTAGCTAGTCGGGTGTTCCCAGGCCGCACTGATGATGTCTCCCGTATAGGAGACGAAACGTCTGATAAATGTTGATATTGTTATGCGAGACAGAATGTTCTAATGTTACACTCCGCAGTCGGAAAAGACGCAATTCGAGGTGGGCGGGAAACTGTTTAGTTTGCCGCGGTGGAGACAGTTGATTTGCTGTCTTATTTTTTGTGAGTATATTTCTTTTGATGTCTCCCTCCACCATTTCCCCCTACTTGAACTGGAACGGTATGTGATAACCTAAATGAAAGTAACTATACACTGTTGCAGGTTTACAATAACGGGACAAGACCCTCCCACCACAAAGCTCTCCACTTGCCATGGTAGGATGTTTCCTCCTCTCCAGAATTCACCCTCTACTAAAGTGGAAGGAGTGGAAAGCTTTGTGGAAGGTGCTTGTACCAGTGCTCTTAGCCTGCAATAGACTATGCACACAACCAAGATGTCCAGTACAATTGTGTTTACAAAATCCCGATGCACAAAAACAATGTCCTGGTCTTCTCAAGAAAAACAAAAATGTCTCAAAGAAAGAACACAAGACAGTAAAGCTCTCTTTAATCACTCTCAACTCCTAAACGCCTTGGTTGAAATGTGCCATTCCACGAATATTCACAGCTGATTGGGCTTCCTCGAAAATTCCAGAGGGAGTTTATTTGCAAATAACCACCCTTAGAGTAGGCAGTTTTCTCTGAAAGCCTTCAACCTTTTCTAGAAGGCAGTGGTGTAGCGAGAAAATATTTTCGGGTGGTGTTTCAAGGTGCCGGTGCAATCACAGACACAATAAGAAAAAGAAAAAAAAAAAAAGCATAATATAGTAAAATTTTGGGGGGTGTTCCGACACCTGAACACACCCCCTGGCTACGTGTTTGCTAGAAGGCCTTTGACTTGGCCTAGAGAGCCCTCAACTATCCCTAGAAGGCCGTTAACTTCCACTAGAAAGCCTTTGAGTTTCCTAGAAGGCCTTAGACTTTTCCTAGAAAATATGAATTTCTTTAGGCCTTTGACTTTCCCTAGAAAGCTTTTGACGTCCCTTGGAAGCCTTCAATTTTCCCTAGAAGACCTTTCACTTTCCCTCGAGAGCATTTGACTTTCCCTAGAAGACCTGCAAATTTTTCTGAAGGCCTTTTGCCAACATACCTGAGAAAGATGGTGAGGAACCATGAGAGGGAAATCATGGACAGAACACCCAGGCAGTCCAGCTTGTTGTACAGATCTGGCACATGGTCCTTGGCCAAGTCTTCCAGGACCCCTAAAGATTGAACAAGCCAAAAACGTCCAGTTGGTCAAGGATATCATGCATTTACATTCTCTGCATGCCAGGTCTTTTTGATGCACTTTAAAACAATCTTGGAGGCTACCAAAGACGGTAATCTGACTGGTGACTTTCAGAACAATGACTGGGACAAATATTTGTCGATTTCAACTCTGTTAAGAACCTGGTTCTCGTGCATCAAAACTGCTAACAAAAGATTCTGGTAATAATGTGACACTAAACTATCAAATTCTGTATCTCAAAACATTTGATCTACCATAACTAAGATAGAAAATTAAACGAGACTTGGCAGCCACCTTTAATGGTAACCACCATTAATCACACAATGCAGCATTTAAGGAGGGATCATTTCAATGCGCTTAGAAGACATTAAATATCACATGAGATTATGCTGCCAAACCACGGTGCCACGTAACACGACGTCACGATTCCACGTGACACCACGAGATCATCTGACCAAACATCACAGCCTCAAGTTGTGGTGCCATGCCACAATGTCAAATGACACGCGATTCTTTCACGTGACGTGACGTAACATCACAATGTCACCTTGTGGCATCACGTGACCTGCGCCCGTGTTTACCCTATAACACTGACACTGCCTCATCTAACACGGGGTACACACGGGTGCAAGAACGGACAAACTTCCAAAAGCTAAGGCTTCCGTTATAAGGCATTCTGTGCATTATAGAACGTCTAAACTGACATTGTCTAACTTTGCGGCGAGGACCAGACCTCGATTCCGTCAACACATGCATTTGCATTCTCTGCATGCCAGGTCTTTTTGGTGCACTTTAAAACGATCTTGGAGGCTACCAAAGACAGTGGTCTGACTGGTGACTTTCAGAACAATGACTGGGACAAATATTTGTCGATTTCAACTCTTAAGAACCTGGTTCTCGTGCATCAAAACTGCTAACAAAAAATTCTGCTAATAATGTGACACTAAACCATCAAATTCTGTATCTCAAAACATTTGAGCTACCATAACTAAGATTGAAAATTAAACGAGACTTGGCAGCCACCCTTAATGGTAACCACCATTAATCACACAATGCAGGATTTAAGGAGGGATCATTTCAATGCGCTTAGAAGACATTAAATGTAACGTGACATTACGCTGCCAAGCCACGGTGCCACGTAACACGACGTCATGATGCCACGTGACACCACGAGATCATCTGACCAAACATCACAGCCTCAAGTCGTGGTGCCATGCCACAATGTCAAATGACACGCGATTCTTTCACGTGACATGACGTGACATCACAATGTCACCTTGTGGCATCACGTGACCTGCGCCCGTGTTTACCCTATAACACTGACACTGCCTCATCTAACACGGGGTACACACGGATGCAAGAACGGACAAACTTCCAAAAGCTGGGGCTTCCGTTATAAGGCATTCTGTGCATTATAGAACGTCTAAACTGACATTGTCTAACTTTGCGGCGAGGACCAGACCTCGATTCCGTCAACACCACCGCATACCTTGATCGATGAGCGCTCCGACCACCTTGGTGTTGTAGTAGTCCGGGAGCAGACGCTCGCACAGTGCCACCAAGAGCCAGAAGGCCTCTTCTTCCGAGGCGTACAGTAGCAATACAGACGCCACTATGTTCATGGCCTGGCAGTATCCTGCAAGGGCATTTCACCGTGAGGGCTCCTAAGCTTTGTGCTCGCTTGAGTCCCCAAAATCAGATTGCGCGAGGATCGCGCAAACACTGTAGATTTCCTAGAGTGCGTTGACGAGTGTTCCCTCGTAGAAAAGCTCGCATATTTTGACGCCAGGAAAAATAACAAACGTGCAGAAAAGTCGTGATGCGAGCCGTGGCTTTTTGCTCGTTCTGGAGACAGACATTGCTGCTTTTTCCGTACTAATTTAGGTCGACTTAGAAAACGCAAGATGACCAACTGCTGGCTAATGAGGAGGCCAAAAGTGAAGACAAATGTTTTACAGTATTCTTCATATTCTAACACAGTAGAAGTGTTTGAATAACTCACTTTTAACAGCCCCACATAAAAGCATCTACAGTTACGACGGATGTTTACGGGAAAAAAACAGTCAAATTCCTCGTCAAATTTAACCTGTACTGACGCAAACCATGAAGTGAAAATAATTTTCATACAAACAAAATTTTGCATGTGTTGTACCCAGGTTACGGTTAAACAAATTCAAGAAGATAAGTAATTAAAACATCAATATTCAATAAATCACCACACTTACTTAAAAAAAACAAAAAAAAAACAATTTGTGAAAAGAGTGACATTAGTAATACATCAATGGCAGAAAATTAAACCAGAAAAATACTTCAAAACATCGAAATTCCATACGCTACTACACACGTTTAGAAAACACAAAACCAGAACGTGCCAGGGAAGTGGCATCGGCCGCCTACCAATGGCAGGGTTGCGCCAGGCGTAGGCGTTCAACACGCGCCGCAGGGCGTTGATCCCAGAGGGACTCTGAAACGCGGGGTGCTCGGGCAGGGAACGGTGCAGGTCCCGCTCAATCTCATCCGCCGTGAGAGTCCGCTTGCCCGTACTCTCCTCCACTGCCTTCCGGTAGTACCCCGGGTTCGCCTCCATCTTTGAGAGAAAGACACAGCTACGATGACACCCTCGCCCCAAAAGGCTGGTTCGCACATTTGCGCTTGAGTGGGATCGACTTTGTTGCAACCGCTTGCAACTGTCTATGAAGAGCGGCGCCACCTATGGGGTACCCTGGAACACTCCCAAATAGCCTATAAATAGACTGAAGTTTTTTTTGCAGTGTCGGTGACATAAAATCTACGCACTATATACGAGAAATGGTCGCTCGTAGCGCTTGGGATTAATTGAAGCCTACGGGGAAAGAATGGTGCGTCGGTGCCTGCGCGTTTCCTTAGCAAAAGTAGTCACAAGTGGACACAACACGCCCTGTTGCACAGAAACGAAAATGAATGAACCACTCCCAAATTTGAGTCGTTCGGCACTATTCGGCACTGTTGCTAGTGTACGTTTTGGTACGTTGGCTTCCTTGCGACACACCTGCGGCCTCTTGTGTAGCCAAGCATTCCACGAGTTTGCTTTACCGCAGCGTAGCGATGCAAAGCCGATGCGACATCATGTAACGCCACGACTCAATACCATAGCATCATGTGATGTTTGCTGCTTTCTAGACACTTTTAAACAATCACTCTTTAAATGCCGAGTTCCATGCAGTAAAAGACTTTGGAATGAAGGTTGCCGCCAATTTCTACCTTATTCGGAGGTGTGTAAAGTAAACGGGACAGTAAACAATGCGGGTAAGTTAAGGTAGAGGCGGACAAGGGACACCTTGTTACCTCATTTATGGCGCCCGAGTAAAGCATCCACAGCTCTCCCCTCAGACTGTCAGGAATCCCAGCCAACACCAGCTCCTGCGCTTTGCTGGTACGGTAGGTGCAGATGCCTCTGCAACACGTCAAGTCATTGTTATCGGTAATGCCATGCGGGCACACTGAGAACATCATGTTCGTGACGTTAAGCGAAAAATTGGGCCTAGCCTGGTTCTGCAATTCTTGCTGATGCCTTATGGGAAATTCCCTCAGTGGATTTGGAGCACGTGTTCATGACTATCTTTATGGGCGTGCAAATGTGCACTTGCATGTACCACACTGAAGGCGTGAGCATGAAGAGCTTTTGGATCGCTCCAAATCCACCAAGAAAAAGCATGGGTCAGAAGTTTCACAAGAATGCAAAGCACAGGTAAGTCCATAAGGATGGGAAAAAACAACATAAAGGACCACACAGGTCCAGAAAACATGTCAAGGGTCCACAGAGCTCCAGAACAGATGTCAAAAGTTCACATAGATGCAAGGCATAAGTCGAGTTGACAAAGATCCAAGGCAAGAGACCATAAGGATTCAAGGCACAAGTCGAGCGTCCACAAACATCCAAAGCATGAGTCAAGAATTCACAAAAATCCACACAAAGGGTTCACCAAATTTGCAGCTACATAAACCTAAAGCACAGGTCAAGGTTTGAAAAAGAACTAAGGCATGGGCTAAAAGCCAAGAAAGAATCCCAAGTGCAGAGCAAGAGCTCACGAAGGTCCAGAGCACAGGTCAGGGGCCCAGAGGGAACAAAAAGATCAAATAAACAGCAAACGAAGGTCCAAATTAGAGAGGACGGGTCCGCAAAGCACCCACCTGCCGTACTCTGCAAAGTGTTCCTCCCACTGCTTTTCCTTGAGCACTTCGGCCGCTTCGGCCTCTTTGGATCGCGGCAGCTCAAAGCACTTCGCCAGAGATCCTTCAAGCTTCCAAGGGGTCTCCGGACCTGAGCGCAAGGTCCAATTGAATTAAACCTTGGAGTCTAAACGGATACAATTTTGAGCATGGCCAAAGTGAAAGATTAGGCCTAAATTAATAAAAAAAAAAAAATTATCTGCTTAGGTGGCAGATGTACCGTAAAATACCAAGCAAGCGCCTACTCAAAATTTGGAGATAATCGCGAACAGATGGGGGACGAGTGCTTGTCCAGTCATCAATTTTACGTATAAATGTAGTGTGCATCTTTTCTCAGAATTTAATGCGGAATGGGCGAATGTGCGGTATTCTACGGTACCTTACTAAAACCTCACCACCCCTAAAAAAATCGCGGAGTGGAACATTTTAGTTGCAAAACTCATTCTGAGTGCCATATATTGCGGTTTATAATTTGATCTTTTCAGAAATAAATAGCTAAAAAAATGTATATATATATAAAAAAAAAAGTTTTTGATGGATTAGAACAGTGGTTCTTAAATGGGAGTCCGCAGAGCCCTTGGGGTCCGTGATGGCATTCTAGGGGTCTGCGAAGCTTTGCCTCATGAGCCAAAACCCAGCAATAAAAGTGGTCTTAATTGCCTTTAGTTATACTATCCCCTTATTAAATCATTATCATAATTAACCTACACTTTTCTTTTCCCCCCACCTTAAAAGGGGGCCTCCATCATTTCTGCCGATCCAGAAGGGGTCCGTGAAACATCAATGGTTCAGAACCACTAGAATTTGGGGGCGTTTAGGCCTATCTTTGGAGTTGAGCTTTACGCGGCAATATAGGGTATTATATGTACTATGCAACTGTTTTCAAGAGATAAAATGAAACTACTAGGCATTATTTGATTACAAGGAAAATGAAAACAAAAAACTTGGCTCACAAGATGCCGACTTGGGACTGCCATCTCCACAGTGGCCGGCGCTAAAAAGAACACACACGTGAACCTGTAAAACTTCATGGCAAAACGGCACACTATGGCTCACTCGGCATTCAAATTAAAAAGTGTTTTGTCCAAACACCTCTAGCCATGGTGCATTTATTACTTTTTACACTATTTCAATAAGAGAGTTGTTAAGATGCCTCTGTTAATAATTTATTTACTCCATGTTTTGATTTCATATCAAGCAGTAACAGAGCACTGCTTACATACCAGTCCTCAAGTCAGCTAAGGTTGGAAGAAGGCTTAACCTAGTCTCCATGCATCATGCTCTGGAAACTACCACCTCATCACGGACGAACAGATGTACAAAGCAGAGACGGTAAAACCAAGGGTTGCACCCACTCTTTGGGCTGTGGCAGTTTGGCGAGCAACTCGACGATCTTCTCGATCAGGAAGTCCCGGCCCTCCACTTGAGAGAACGAGAAGTTGATCTGCAAACAGTCAAGACGCAAAGAAAAACGCCCGTCGTCACGGCCCGAAAGGGAAGAAAGACGAGCAATCGCGGTCAATTGATTTGTCGCTCTCAAAACCGTAACGAATCCCCAGATACATAACTTGGCAGGCGGCAAAAGCAACGATCCCAGCGAGCCAATCGGAGGGAGACACGTGATCCATAGTCTACCTCATCAGTTACGTGCAGTGCTGTCGAAGCCACGGGCGGGAAAGGAAAGCCTCTTTTGCGCGAACTTTGAGCGACGGGCTAATCCCCGAGGGGGACGAAACCAACGCCTGGAATGCACAAAAGACGGTCCTAACAAGAGGGGAGTTCCCCCTTCCCCTCTTCTTCAACTGCACGAGCTACGCTCTTGTCCCTGCACCACTGGTAAGGGCCGTCACGTGCCTCGACTATATTGCTCCGATTGGCCCAAAGGGGCTGCAGCGTTCGCTCTTCGAACAAGCGACGGTGAAACAAAGTACAGAGTGTCGTATCCACCGAATAACGGTTGACGCCATGCGGTCAGAGAGAGGCCCGCAGGCCCTACTTATTGCGGCAATACACTAAAACCTTGATTATGCGTCCCCGGTTTATGCGACGACCCGCATTTTATGACGAATTTGCCCGGTCCCGACGAACTCTCCGTAGAAATAATGTATTAAAAGTTTGGTTTACACAGCACGCGATTCTACGCGTCCCGCGTCGTACGACGTTCCGGCGGGAAATACGCAACGACTTCGATGGTTGCGTGAGGAGGGGGGCGGCAGCGCGACAACGCGGAAGAGTTCTGTGCGCCTGCCTGCCGTCTCTGAGGGTCCAAGAACACGCCGCCGGAACCCAAGACAGCCGCAGCGCTGGGAGGAAGCAGGAGACAGCGCTTTCCCTTCTCCTCCCCGGGTCGTGAAATGCCTCGGTGTTTTCGCGTTGCGTCCTTGCTCCACTCATCCCATTGTTCTCTCGTCTCTCGTTTACCCTCGCTCCCCTCTGCGCAGCACTTCCTCCAACCCGTTGATTCTTCCAGGATTGGGCACGCTTCCACTGGTTCCCGCTGTTGCTGCTCTCGGAAAGCGTGAAAAGCGACAAGTATCCCATCGTCAGGGGGTAGAAGCTGAGCTAGTTGGTGGTACATATTACAACGGTTAAACCAGCTGAACTACGAAATTAGGGAGAAAGGAGTAAAGCGATCACCTGTCTTTACTCCTTTCTCCCTAATTTCGTAGTTCAGCTGGTTTAACCGTTGTAATATCCCATCGTCGCAATTGTGCACGCCGGCGACTGATGTCTCGCAAACGAACATCATTGACGATAAAAAAAAGATACAGCAGATTATTAGCTTAGACATCATTTAAACCCTCCGCTTGTCTTTGTTGCACGAGGCTGGTCACTGTATCCGTAATTATAGTTCTTTGGGATGATACGACTCGCGGATTATACAATGATTTCGTGCGGACCCGCAAAAAATTGTGGTTCCACTACATTTACTCCTTTTAAGAGTCGTGCCTGCGGGATAATAGTGTCCAAACAAAATTTTCAAGAGATGCGAGGGTTTACCTTGTTCTTGGTGGTCAGTAGCACCCCATTTGAAAGCAGGTGGTTCTCAACCTTTTCCGTTAGGAGCAGCATTCGTAGAGGAATGACCAAGCACACAAGGTTCTTCACCTGTACGTCAGAGAAGACGGCATATCGGCGTTTGTGCGGAATCAAGAAGGTGATCTACGCTATATAGTGTGTGCCCCCCCCCCCCCCCCCCCAAAATTAAGAGTGTTCATTTCACCGCAAAAATAAAGCGTGTATCGCCGAATGCCAATTCTCCGCCCAAATCTAGTGCTAACGCTCTGAACCAGATGCCAAGTTTCGGAATCATTATCTTATTCGAAAGTTACGAGTGTTTTTCTAAAAAGTTCAATGGGAAAATGGGGCCCATTCTCAGTACCTGGCGCCGTTCAGATCCATTTGTTCCAGGACTCAGTTGGCCACCATTTTCCCGTTGATATTTTGAGGAAAATCACTTGTTAGTTTTGAATAAGGTTACGGTTAGTTCTGAAAGTTTGCCATATGGTTCAAACCACTAGCCCTCCGTTTGGGCAGATGCAGGAACTTTACGTTTGGGTGGTGGAGAATAAGCATTCGGCAATGCATAATTAATTTTTGCAACAAAAATTTTTTTTTTTTTTTTTTGAGGTGCACGGTTTGCATGTGATGGTCATTATATTATGCCAGTGGTCATTCCTACTTGCTCTTCGCTGAGAAAAATAACTTAGATGGTGCAAAATGCACACTGCAAAAGGTACGCACTGAGCAACAAGGTCACCGCAATGGCGGCTGATGCGACATCGGTGCAAGCCACATATAGTCTCTAACAATATAAGACATCAGTACAAGCCCCGCCTCCAGAGTGAGCTTTCTGTCTCGGGGACACTTCGTCGTCTCGTGAGGATGCGCAGTTAAAGTACGACGGAAGGCAACGAGTGCATGCTGAGGGCAAGAACTTCTCCCACATATCTTACGCAGCAAGAAGTTATAGAACCGAATGGCACCAAACACCGAGATAGAGCCAGAAGAGAATTCTCCTAAACGCTCACAAATGCATCACAAACACCGAAGGCAACTCCGTAAAACTAGAGAAACGCATTTCAGACTGAGCGTTCTAAGATATTTTTTTCATTTAAAAGAAAAGTAGAAGTGAACACTTTAAACCATTATTGCAGCTGCCTCTCTACGTAAGGGCAGATCGCCCAGACCCCAGTGTTCCGGGCAGAGTTGGTTATAATTTATAAGTAAGGTTTTGTGTTTCCGGCATACACCGACAAACCCCCAAAATTAACTGCCGAGCCGATTTCATCAAAATGGGGGGAAACCGTAGAACCTAGAAATTCAGCCGTCCTTCAATGAAGAAATCTCAAGCTTCCGAAAAATAAACCTTCATCTACAGCTTCCTCTCCTGCTGAATGGGAACATAGCCTGCACTGAACTGACCATGGTGCTGCTCTATTTTCCAACGAACCACGCCCTGTTATCTCATTTCCTTCTCCTATCTCGGTACTGGAATGGTTTCTGAGTACATCCAGGTCGCACATATGTTTCCTAGCGGTTGAGGAATCCCACACCCCCATCTTGGCGTCTTCAACATGAGCCTCGATAAATGCCGATTTCTGTGCGACACTGGAATCGGATGCCAAGGAGCCCCCGAACCCACAAAAACAACAAAAAAAAAAACCACCCCCGAAAACATGAAACCCTGGTTGCTACGTAAAAACGACCGTCCGGCGTGTGGGGCGCTCACCCTGCTCTCGAAGCAGACGTAGTTTGGCGACAGGTAGAGCTTTCCACGGACCAACTGCTTGTTGTACGGCGTCCACAGGCTGCAATCCAGGGTTCCGTCCAGACGCTCCTCCAGCGGCAGCCGGAAGGTCGTCCTGCAAGGCGTAGAAGTAGTCTGGCAAAGCTCCGCAACCTCCCCATACCTCGGCAAAAAGGCCCACCCAAGCGATCTTTCAAAGCGATATTTTTAATCCAAAGTGCAGGGACACCCCGGCTGACGGAGGAGCCCTTCCGGAGTTTGCATCGATGCAATAAAGCAGTGCGGAAACCTATGGTAGACATGTGCAAATAGTGGATTTTGATTTCGAAGCGAACGGTGGTTTCGTTCTAATATTTTCTAATTAAATATAGAATAGTCTGTCCCAGCCTTTCACTACTGCCCCATATTAAACGAAAGCACAGCTAAACTCGCAAAGGTTGCTCCCAAACTTCCACTTGTTCACTTCTAAGATAGGTTTTATCTTAATCGAACCATACTTAAGGACTTTGGTTTCAGAAGATCAATGCCTATATTGAGATGGAAAGTAAACGACACTTTTGGCATAAAACTAAACTCGTAGAGATGCCCATCTATACCTAATCGAGAGGATTTATTAATTTTCTTGCTATATGCAAGTGACCTTCCTACACTCTCCAATTTAAAAAAAAAAAAAGACATTCACTAATCATGAAAGCTCATTGTCACGCCATCTTAGCCTAACATACTCTCACATAATCCCCAGTTCAACTTTTTAAAATTTTACTGCGATGTAGATATCAACATTGACAAAGTTTCCATTTCTTTTTAAATACAGCAGGCACTATCACACTCTGCAAGAGTGCTGCTCTTCTAAGCATGCGACCGCAATAATTGTACTTTTCGGAGTGTTGCTTGCGGCGGGTCAGCCCCATTGAGTGTGCTTCCTGCCAGACACGGGTGCGCTGCAGAGAAGCGACATCGACAAAAGCAAACTTCATGGGTGTTGCTTCACTGCATGGAATCACACTGCTCGGTAAAAAGCACGCTCAACAAGGCCAACCTGCCGCTATCACCACTTCAAAAAGTACAAATATTGCAGTCAATTTCGAAGCAAATATCGAATAGCATATTATTCGAAACAACTATTCGAAAATTCGAACATTCAAAAAATCCTAGTAAACATTAATGAATAACATAGGGCCTCTATGGCTCGTAGTAATGCGTCCCTCGATGGGTTAAATCTAAAATTAACCTAAAAAAACATTTTTTTTTTTGTTACATTGTTATAGGGATGGTTGAGAATATTTGGAAGCTTGAGGAACGTTTTTATGGCGCGAGGTAGGCCTATAATACTTTGAATGTAAAAAGATTACCTGTAAGCTTCGCTCTGTGCCCTGGCGTCCAGATCCCGCTTCAGGTGTGGAAGCTTCTTCGGAACGTTTCGACTCAGCTTCCGCGCTAGTTGCTCGTCCACCTCATAGTGCTCCTCCGAGATTAATCTGCATTAATCCAATCATTAATTAATCCACACAGCTACCTCTCTTCAATCATTACCAAATTACTACAACCGCGTTAACCGTTTTCCCATATCATACCGAAACTAATTAATGGAAAGGAGAGCATATCCTGGGAAAACAGGGTTATGAAAAAAAAAAACAGAAACGGACATAAGCGACCAATGAAGCTGTCAAACAGGATCAATGCCCACAGCAGTCGTAACGTTACCAGGAATAAAAAAAAACGAGTGCGTACTCAAAAAGAATGAGAGCATACTCACTGCCTCATTGCCAAGTTTGCCAACTGCTCCATGAGTGAAAAAGTCTCCACAATGTTGGTAAACATAGAAAAGTAGTACTGGAATGAAGGAAGGCAAAGTCATTGCAAAGAGAACACCAAATGTGAGTCATCCTTAACTAGCAGAAGTCACTGTCACATCATTTCAACACAGATGATGCAAGCTAGAGAGATACCTGGCTATATTGTCATAGAAACCATATCATGCTATTAGCAAGATGTCATTCCTCGAGTATTGCTCCATTGTAACACACAAGAACTGCGGAATCATCTTAATACCCACCTTAGATTCCCTGCAGGTCACTAGTATGCTTTCAGGAAACAAAACATTGTTGCTCCTTTCGAGATTCTGCAAAAGTGAAGAGAGGACACATCGGAGACGTGAAAATGCCGATATCTCGGACCAAGTCGAATATGAAGCGACGCCCCCTTGGCACCGCTTCAAACTAAACAGAAAAAGCTTGCGCAACAAATCTTTCTGCTGTCCCTCCGACCCAGGGTTGAAATGTCCATAATAAACCAGCTTGCCCACATTCTCGCTTCCACAGGTAACTATTTTCTGTAAAACGTACAACCTCAGCCACATTATTTACAGTGTAAAAACGAGGTGTCAGAGACTCTTCCTCAATCAATATGGCCGAAATGCCATCAAGCAAGAGGCAGATTGCACAGCTCACTTCTCATGCAAAGCTTCAAGTCGTTTTCAGATTTAGCTAAATGTCACACTTCCCCGCCGAACAGAGCAATCGCGTCTTCCGAGTGCCGTCAAGACCGACGTCCGATGCAGACGTACAAACAGCAAGTTCTTCAGCGAGGTAGAATGACCTCTGAGGTTTCTTTTTTGTCCCGATGCAAGAGGGAAGTGCAAAGTCAGGTGAGAGGGGACAAGGAAGGGAGGCAGCGAAGGGTGGAAGAGAGCACAGCACCTCCTAATTAACGAGGCTGCAGCGCAACGTCTCACGTCGCCTACTCGGCGTGATGGTGCACAAGCTGCTCATAGGACGAGAACGGCAGAGAGGCATTTTGGTTGTTCCGCCTCCCAGCGCAAGCTCCCCACCTTCAGCAACGCTTCGGAGTCACGCTTGTGCATGCGCTGCCAGAGCACGGCGAAAGGCAGCGAGCGCGTGACAGAGGCCGGGCATTCGGAAGAGATGCCTCGTCCTCCTCACCCTCGCGGTGACTATAGGAGGCATTGCTCTGCACACTATCTCTTCAAAGAAGAGGGGCGAAGAGAGGAGGAGAAAATGAATTTATGCGGAAAGTGCAGGGCACGTCAACGTCACATAGTCGCCACTAAAGGTGTTCGTACCTTTAGAGAGCTGCTAAGCAAATATGTGGAATCTGCGTGGTTCTAATATTACCGAAGCGATGATGCGTTCCTGCCATAAATCCCGAGAGAACCGAAAGACCGGGAAAAATCGTCAGATCGAAGAATGTTTTTAGAAATGCCATTTTTCTACTTTGTGACCTGCCAAACTTGTTTTCGCATTGAGGGGCAACGGAGCATAAACAACCCTCCTTCCCAGTCGGCTATGTTTGCTCATCTCCCGCTGCGGCCAACTAATCCCGTTTCGGCCGAGGTTGCCATTGGTCAAGGCACCAAAATTACTAGAAACAAACAATCTTTCAGTGCTTTTTTAAAAAAAAAAATAGTGAATGTCAAAAAAAGGGGGCAAGCTATTTCTCGGGGGTAAAGTATCTTTCGGGATATTACGGGATGTTACGGTAGTTTAATTTTTGCACGTACACATTTCGTTTGTTTCTAAGCATGTGTATGTCATTCTTGAGTGTAACTTTTATCGTTCTTGAGTGCTATATTTGTTACTTTCTTTTTATTACTATCCCAATTTTCGGCAGCCCATTTTTCGAGTAATGCCAAGGTGTTAATAAAAAAAAAATAAGAAGGGTCTGCAATGCCAACGTCCTGCCGCCAGCTCCAGACAAAACTGAAGGCAGTACTGGCTAGAACACCGTGTCCTCACCGTGATGTCGGTCCACCTTAGCAAGAGCCTGGTGGTCTGTCCGAAGAAGAAGGAGTGAAAGCCCAGGTGCTGCATGCTCAGATAGAGCCAGCCTTGGTGCGGGATGCGTCCTTTCCAGAAGCTGCACGAGTAATCTGCGACCAAAGAGCGCGCCACGGGTTCGGAGGACCACCCAAGAACGTCCCAAATTTTTAGCACAAATATGTTAACCATAGGATTCCGCATTTTCGAAGTTTAAGGTGTTTTTCCGAGTTAATTTTTCACCAAAAATTCGGGGTTTGTCGGAGTACTTTTGTTAAATTCCCAATTCTCTCAAATTCCAGAATGTTTATTTTACTGTGTTCCCAATTTCTAAAAATTTCTAAAACAGAATAAATGAAGTCTAGGTACCACGATGTGTCGCTTTGAAGGAACCTCGACGAGCTAAAAGGCAAACCCCTCTTGTCGGTAGTTATAGATATCGAAGGAAACTGAAGTTGCATCTTCTCAGGACCACTGACCTTGAGCCGTTATAAAATTTCTTCGTCAAACGTCGTCTTTTCTGCTTTCTATTTGGTCGTCGTGACCATTTGGATAAATCCGAATGCACGAAAATTTTACCGGCGAGTTTTCGGATTCTTTCAGATTTATCCGAAAACATGCAACCCTACTTATAGGGAAATCAGGGGATACCGATAATTGGGAGACCTAAAATTCAAAGTCCCGGCACCGCCAAACATTTTCTCTTCCCGCAAAACGATTCTTCCCAAGATGGTCGAGGGTTCCGCAGTGACGCAAAGTTTGAGAGGCGTCGTTCCGGAGGCGTCGTTCCGGAGGCGCCTCCGAAAAGGAAGCCAGCAGACTCACAGTTGACTAGTTTCTCCTCTGGTGGCAACCCAAAAAGGTTGGCGAAGTGGGTGGCGTTCACTTTGAACTGGGCGGAGTCTCTCTCGCCCGCGTCAAGGAAGCTCATCTCCCGCTGCGCCGCCAGGCTCTCGATTTTGCAGCACACAAAGTCGGTGGCCTCGTCTTCCGTGTCGAACGAGCCTGCAGGAGAAACCAGCACGACTCGGTCGTTAGCGGCACTGGCCGTGACGGCACTGTCAGCCGATCGCTGTGCCTACCGCGTCCTCAAAAGCGGTCCCTCGATTTCTGCCCGGTGACGTTGCAGAAGTGTTGAGGGGTGTTTCACTCGTTTCAACCGTTATGCAGCCGGAACGAGTGGTGGCAGAAAGACCGGTAGTGACAAAGATATGCAAAGTGCAAGTTCGTCTGCTTCTTTTGTAGGGGTTCTGACGATACCAGAATGCCAAACTCGTATTGGATGATTAAAAAAAACAGTAGCGGGCACACCTCAAGGCTTTGAGATCTACCCACTATCCTTTCAATCAAAGCCAATCGAAGCTCGGTGTCGTTCTGACACTGTTGTGACTTCTGCGCTAGAAGCATGCCGCAACTCCTGTGCTAGAAGCAGACGACTTGCTCTCCGCATAAGTACCAAAACATGCTCATTCACATGCTGCACCAAGAATTGGTGGTGAGAGCGTGCAGTTCAAGCCAACGTACAATCGTAGTTGTCAAGACGGACCCCGTTACAGACGCTAAACCTAGGGAAAGTTTTTTTTCCTACTTAAAAACGGCGCCTTTGAAAAGAAAGAAAAAATTGTTTTTACCTAATATTTATGCAACAATACAAATTTTTCGATTTGCGGGCAAAACCGAAATGGTTCCCCTGTGGGATGATGACAGCGTTTGTACCCAATTTGTATGTGCTCCAAGTTTGCTAAACCTCAGTAAGTGTTTTTTTTCGACAAACATTTATTTTGAGGCTGGTCCGTCCCAACTAGGTAGAAAAGAAAATTTTTGCTCCCTAGGTTCAGTGCTTTTTCAATGAATTACCCCACTACAGTATAACCCTGTCACATCAGAAGTAGTTACAGCAGACATTTGGTTCTAAGTCGTAACATACCGATTTGTGAAGTTTGGTTCGTCTCCCTGCTACGCCACTGAGACGACTCCGCTTATTACAGATTCCGTTATAACATACTTTCAGATATTATTAACTATGTTAGACAGTTGGTAAGTAGTGCACCGTTCCATTATGGCAGACTTTTTAAAAAAGGACGTTATTTTGGACATCAGGCGGCTTTGATTCGGTAGAGGTGGCATCAACTTTGCAAACCGTTGCCATTGCGCTCGGCACCTTGGGAGCCTCGTGAGACTCAAAAGCGTGTGGTGATGACAATCGTCGGCATGTCTCAATAAAAAATCGCTAGTACCTTTCGAAATTCAGAACTTTCAATAAACCAGTTCTTTTCTAATATTCATTCGCATGTCGTCAGTCCCACTCGATGGAACAGACTCCAGTCGTGATCTGCATCAATCTTTAGTAAGGGTATCTGCAGTCTTCATACTCCTTTTACAACACACCAAAATCTTCACCACTAACGAGGTCTGCTATAACCAGTTTATACTGTGGAATCTCATTAATTCAAACTCTCTTAATTCAAATTTGCGGATAATTCAAACTAACATGCAGGTCCCGTCCTATTTGTTTTTAGGTATGAAACTCCCTGTAATTCAAACTTTACATTATTCAAACAAAGTTTTGATCCCCCTCGGGCTCAAATTAACGAGATTCCACTGTCATGTGGTATCGGAATAAACTCCAGCGTCGAGACTGCTTGAGAAACGCAAGCCTAATGGACGTATCGAGTGATCTAAAGGCAGCTCGCGGGGGAAAAACAGCCACGCACAGGATGGAAGCGGCAGCTAAGTTTGGAACTCACCGAGCGTGTCGAGGAGGTTGTTCTCGATCCATTCCCAGTTCTTAAAGATTTCCTCCCTAAACAGAGATGTTGCCACCACTGGAACAAAGATTAAGTACGACTCATTTCGCAGGCTTTACAGACTCTGCTTTATCTTCAACAATTCAGCAGGTGAGAAACACAGCCGCTGTCCACTATTGTAAAGTGTTCAGGCTCTGGCACGCCTGTGTCCTCTTTCACTGCTTGTTCTACAGTTCCAACTGTTCCAACAACAGATGCATACAGCCGCTCTTTCAATAGATCAAGACACACCAGTACTTGCCGAAGTCCTGCTTCTACTAGTCTGGGAATAAATTTAAAAAACCGACAACCACACACACCATGTCGAAACACAGGTACCGATTTTATTCCACATTGTCAGATTTACACTGTAGGGTTAGTTGGCATACGGACATAAAACAAAAACAGCGCGAGGACGAGGTCAGCGCCGTGTCCTGTCAGTTACCTTGTACTTTCTTATCATCTTCATGCTGTTTTTGTGTTCACATTTATACATTCGTGCGCCCTCCCAAAACATTTCTCGCGTTCACTGTTGTCTTGTCGCGAGGGGGGTGGTAACCTTCGGGGTGGGTGGACAAATGTATAAATGTGACTACGTGGAATAAAATCAGCAGCTGCGTTTTGAGACGATCTGTGTGCCTGTCCGTCTTTTTAGTTATTCCCAGTCTTGGGTTTTTCATTATGGAGTTAGTTCACCAGCTTACCTGCATTTTTTTCTCTCATCAATCCTGATACCAAAAAGAAATACACAAAAAAGATACAAAATAAATAAGTTAAAGGAATGAATGAATATATGAATGTAAACAGACAGTGCCAAACCCCTAACAGCATCAAGAACAAAACTTAATGTAATTTTTTAATAGGAATACAATATTGTTCACATTTTAGTAAAATTGTGATATCGCTGTCTACCAGTCGTGCTTCTCATTTTTTTTTTCTTTTCGAATATTGTAAATGATTGTGCATGGTTTATATCGGGTCCGTTAGGAATTATAAGCTAATTACTCAATATTGTGACCTCTGCTTTCTGTAATTAGTCCGGGTTTGAGGCGTCCTTCATGCAGCATGAAGCAACAAGTAGACCGTTTCCTTTATCGCCTTCTGTGCGCTGCAATCTTTGTCTTGCAAGCTGTAGAACACGTACAGAGCACGTGCAGGAGTCCTCTTCTGCGGAAAATCGGACGCCGCGCACAAGTTCGCGGCTCAATGGTTTTGTATTTTTCGCCCGAGCAATAAGCAGTGGAGAGGCGTGTAGGACGTCTATGCAGCAGAAAGTGAAGTCATCTTCGAGTGGCATCTCGCGTCTCCGGCGCCGTAATTTGACCAGCGCAGCGCGACCGGTAGCCTCGAGTTACCGTTGCACCTCGTACATTGGTGATCAGAAAAACCCAGGGTGCTACGGCACCGTAAGCTACAACCGCCACTGATCACCACATCTGTGAGAACGAGAATTTGCCGACTCACCGTAACTGACTTCCGAAGATGGCGTGCGGTGGAGGATGCGGTAAGGTGCTGGCTGAACACCAACATGAAAGGAAATAGCGCAATAAACTCGATGCTTCTAGTAACTGCCACGGACCGGTAGAGGTAAATCACTTTAGTCACTGACAGCGTAAGGAAAGAAGGGTACAAACAGTCTTGAGCATCTTATCGCCGCTACGCAGCCAATGAGCTTGCTGCATTTGCACACAAGAACACCGGAGAACGAATTACGAAGCGAGAACCGTGATCATAATAAGCTGCGCCCTGCATTTCCCGAGCTGCCGGTGATGTGCGCACACTTTCAAACGACACACGAAAAGAAGCTAGGTGGGTCTGAGCACAAAACGAGGTTTTAGAAAAAAATACTATGGCACCAATGCACGAGGCCCGAAACAATCCATTCGGGAGTTTAATGGTTCACATACGAGTAGTTCGATACTTGCTGCAAAACTTTATCACGCAAGGGTTCACAGAGCCGTGCGGTGGAATGTCGTTACGGTGGCTACAATGTCTCGTTTCTTTGCCTATTCCTCCTTAAAGGGCCCCTAAAGTGGATTCTGAGAGAGTCTCCCTATGGCACAAGCTCAACCTATATGAGCCCTAAGCATTTCATAAAACAAAATTGCAATCAAGTGCAGCCTTTTTTCCTAATAAAACTAAAATAGTGACAAGCTCCTAGTTCTGAGATAGATCTCAGAGAAAAGGGGCATGCCCCAATGTTGGGTCACATTTCTAATAAAAGAAAAAACGGCCACACACTATCATCATTTTTTTTTGCTTCCTGGGATGCTCGAGGAAAAGGGGCGGGTCGCAATGTTTTGTCACGTTTTCAATAAAGAAAAAGCCCACCCGTGGTCGCAACTTTTGCTTTTCTAGGACACTTAGGGAGCACAGGTCGAGTTTGCGCCATAAAAATACAATTTAAGATCCACTTTAGTGCCCCTTTAAGGGGACATAAACGGCTTGGTATAAAGGATAGCATACACTCCTAGTATACCAGTGGAGGCACTCATTACTCATCAATATGTTTCCCTTCCTAATTTCTGTGTTCATTAAGCGGCCAGGCAGCGATAACGAAACCACCCTTTGTCGCAGCCGCCTTTCGAAGACCCTTTGTCCATCGATTAAAAAGGGTAGAGCTGTCAGTGCGATAACAAATCTCCAAAGATAGGCTGGGGTCAGTCAACATACCGCTTCCCAATCACTTAAAGCTAGTTAGAGTTCAGGGTACAGTTCGGTGCCCCTGATCTGTGCTCAAGTTAAGAGATCACACACTGGAACCGGGAGAATAAAGGCCCAGATAGCTTCAAGGATAAACATATTTTTTTGCTTGCATGACAGATTATACAAACCATCCTTATCATGTCCTAGTTATTGCACATCACATGATCCCTAGTAACGGACAATACACAACAAACAAGATATTCTGCAGGACTTCGCTTGAAAGCAGCATACTATAATGACACAATCAAAATGTTCCATGGTAGCAGGTCAATGCTAATTAACCTTCCACCATATTTAATTACCTTTCACTCGATTAAACCGTGGTAAAAGAAACAGCTACTAAATAAGGTACGCTTCACAGTATAGCAACACTTCGGATATTGTGGTGGATAAAATCATGGTTGCGGAAACATTTTTACGTCCTCTGGAAATGTCAAGATAGTCGGCAACAGAGCAAATTGATGTCACCCGAGTTTTCTGACACCGTATCTGTAGCTCAGGAAGTTGTACTTTTTAGTCGTAATGACTGCCAATTATAGCCACTCTGTATTCAGCACCAAAATGTCAATGCCCACATAAAAATGGGTGAATAAAGCACCAATACACTAAGCGTACTCACTTAGTAGTTTTAGTAAAAGGTATTATGCTGCACTTGCAATGAACATTTAGAACGTCCGGTGCTATCCGAAGCGACAGTTACAATTTGAAATGCCCCATTTCATTCATTTTTACTGCCGCTGATTTCCAAAGCCAGGGCAAAGCCCTCGAGGAGGGCAGGGCATCGTTGGATTGTGCCATAAAAAACTTTTTTTCTTTTCTTCGCGTAGTGACTCTATTTTGAAAGTTTTGAAAGTGGACATGGACAAACAAAATGAACCATACACACGAGTAGCCACTAGCAATGAGAATGTTGCCTCAATCTTGAGACCATTTTGAAAAGCAAAATTTTAAAATTTTTGTTGAATTAGTAGGTTTGCTTTTGTAGAAATCTTGCTCCAGGAATGTCAAGAAAAAAAAAAGTTTTATGGCTTTATTTAGGTTGAAAGTAAAGCTACAAAGCTGACTCAAGAACGTAACATTTGTTACCTTGCTGTCAAAGACTGAATCTAGTGTTCCGACAAGCACGGACGACAGTCCCTTGGTGCCGTGTCCTTTCCGCCGCTGCAGCGTAAAAAATGCATTAGACTGCTCCGTCACCCTGAAAACAAAGTGAAGCGATTGATTATTAGGTGTTTTGTGGCGCAACAGTGAAATGACCGATTGATTGATTATTACGCGTTCCGTGGCATTAAGGCTACAAAGTGAAATAATGCACCAGGCGACAGTGTCAATCCTCCTTTATATGGGAGCATCACGGTTATCTAAGGAGACGAAGGAACGCTTGAAAAATGTAAATGCTCGTGAAATAACATTGACGACAATGACAGTACACAGTAAAGATTATTACAATGTAACAAGCAGTAGGCGATGTAATCTGGCCACAGTATGCGACCACTTGATTATAGCTGCATTCTTTATTGCTTTGGCAAGATTTTGGCAGGTTGTCAATCAGGTGCCGCAAGCGGCACGATACGTTGATCCGGAAAAATTCTCCTGGCTAACACCATAGCTGAATCTTTGGACTCGTGACTTTGTTCTACTGCACAAGTGGTTATTCCAGCCTCAAAGAGCTGCTTCCACAATGCAAAATGGATAGAAGCACTTAGCCATCAATATGACTTACAAAGCGACGACAATGCATGCCAGCTGCGACTTTTAGGAATACTGTCTGCCTGATGCCTGTACTGCATACATTTTGAGATCACCGATATCAACCCCCTCTCCACAAGCAAACAAACACACACACATACATAAAAACTTTTCTTTTTTTTTTTTTTTTTTTTTTTCAAGCACGAGTTGCAAACAAGAACAGTTTACCTTGGAAGATCTAAACAGTACACCCGTTATCTTTCCGGCAACTCACTTATCCGGAAACTCCGCATATCCGTACAAAGAAACCGATCGGTCGCTTCCGCGGATTTTGGCAAAATGCCTCAACGGACGAGAATTTATTCGGACGACAGGGATAAAAAGTTTGTCAAAGAGAGTCGGCGATTCACCATCGTATGCAAACAAAAACAAGCTACCAAAGAAAGAAAAAAAGAAGGGGGGGAATCGTGCGCAGACGTTTGACATTCGTGCCAACTGCCTCAACCAAAAGCGTAGCGCTCTCGAAACAGCTGTGCATGACGTGTTTGCAAGGAGGTTTGATTTCATGCAGGCTTGCGTCACACACACACACACGCCTCTGAACGCATGCTAAAACTACTTGCGGCAGAACCCGACATAATGCTCGGAAACTAGTCGAGGCCTGGGAAAACTGAGGTTAACGGAAACCTTGGATTTTCACGACGTAGAAACAGACAGGGGGAGGTGTGTCGGAGACAAGCGGTTGTGTTTGGCGTCTCGTCGGGAACTCACCACAGAGCGTTCGCTAGTAGCACTTCCTCGGGTTTCATCCACATCTCGACGCGTCGTCAGTGGCACATGGGTAAGAAGTGGACGATTGTCAGGTTGAAACAATGACGAGGCAGTTTCTGAGGCGGGGAGACACGGATGACTAACTACATGGGAGCACAGCGGGTGGCGAGCTCACAGTCCAACAAACTCCGCTGAACAACATCAGTCTCACTAGAAGGGGAAAGTTGGCGGCAGGAATTTGCGTCGGCATTCGTGTGGAGCGAAACCTTACGGCTGTAACGAAAGCACGGTGGCGCACGTCAGCCTGCAGCCTAAAACAAAACTATTTTCGTGCAATGTTTACAAAAAGAAAAGAAAAGCTCCACCAGCGCTGGCTTGCAAACTCGATACGCAAAGCGGGTGAAGACAAGAATAGGTAAATAAATGGACAAGTGAATGCGTCAAAAGTTTTAAATTTGGGCGGTAGCTTCTGCCACCTATCCAGCTGTGATGTCCGAAGCGCCATTTTGCGATCGAAAGGGGACATTGAATAATACATTTTTTTAAATCTTTAACGTTAATAAAACGCCACATTATAATTTTGGTTTAACTTTAGTTTACTCACATACCCACAAAATTTCGGTGTTTTCTTATGTTTTTTTTTTTTTTTTTTTTTGCGTGCTGGCGCGTTTATTTAAATCCGTTGCATGGTAGTTTTAAAATATTCCGCTTCAAGTTCCAAAAATAGACGACTGGCATAGCTTTAATAGCTGATAATCAGCGTTCCATATTCTCAATATGTGCCGATAAACAACCAAAAATAAAGCCTGCGCGCGGGTGTTGTCAAAACTGGACAAGACTGAAAATCCCCGTGTTGCGCCTTCCCTTGGATAAGAAACCTCAAAGCTTGACGGTTCGACCTAGAAAATGAAACCCGGCTCTTCGGCCTTCGTAAGTAAACTAAGCATTGCAGAAAGCTTAAACTCTGTGAGAGCCAGGGTGTCGAACCGGATCTGGAACTGAAACGCTTAGTTTGCCCAAATCGAAACAGAACCCGAACCGAAACCTTCGGCGCCATTTCGGAGTGAACCTGAACCGGAGCAAAAGAAAAGAACGGTTCTGAACCGGTTCGGTAAACGGTTCGGGCGCGCATTCGCGCTACTATTCCGTGCGCTGTGCGCCGGAAATTTTTAGAGGCTTAGCTAGCGCTGCGGGGCAAGGTGTTGCCACTTATGCAAATATTTTTGTAAGCATATTTTACAAAGACGAAGGTCGATAGCCGCTGTAACCGCTCATTCACACTGGAAGCGGATCCGCGTTCGCAAAGCGGTTGCGAACGCGGTTGTATAAAGATTCGGCACAATTGCACGCGCACTCGATGACATCAAGTGCGCGTGCGATTGTACTGAATCTTTATACAACCGCGTTCGCAACCGCTTTGCGAACGCGGATCCGCTTTCAGTGTGAATGAGCGGTTACTGGCTCTCACAAAATCCGCCTGAGCCGCTCAAAGTCATCGTGCCCACGTGCCCGGCAAAAAACCGTCGCCACGTGCTGACGGGATTGTGCATCGAGCTGTCGCGGAAACAACAACGTAACATCAAATTTGGAGTTACTACGGTTGATCGAACGCCATTTTATCAAGACACGTTTCAGAGAACCGCCGTACTCATTTTATCGAAGCTCGGTTTAAAGAAGGCGGAGCCTTAATTTTTAAAAAAATGCCGTTTATAAAAAAGAAGAAAGAAAAAAACGCTGTTTGAAAAAAAAGAAAATAAAAAAGGATCCTTCTTTTTTCGCGTAAGTCTCAGAAAAAGACAGCAAAGGAAGAAAGAAAGTCTCAGAAGATGTAGAAATTGTTAGAATAGAGGTCTTTGAGTCACTTAGGGCCCGGTTAGTGTCACTGAAAAATCGATTGCTCCACGCGTCTGAAAGGAGCAGTTCTCGGCGTAAACGTCGAACACGTCGAAAATGGGGAAATTTACCTGCAAACGATGGCAATGAAAGAAATGTTCGAGTGACACACCGCGGAACGTTTGAAAAGCGAAGCTTTTTTTTTTTAAGTACTTTCAAGGTACGACGCACAGTATAGCAACATACAATGGAGACAATATGCTGAAAACAGTTGCTTTATTAGCAGATAAATCTGCTGGCCCCGTCGCGGCAGGATCCGACCAGTCGGAAGAGGAAGACTTGCACGCGTATGGTGGCGCCTCAGATGGTGCCTCCCACCTCGAAGAATTAGGGGTATAGCTTTTGCTTTTTCAGATGAGGGACCTCTTCAGGAATGAGGTGTGCTGCCTGCAGCTCGCTCTACATGGCGCTCTCAAGTCTACAGCTGTTAGCGACATCGCACAGAAGGTCCAAAAAGTTGTGAAAAAAATGAGGTCGCGGAGCAGAATATTGTCACGAATGACAAATGATGAGGCGGCGAATAACTGAAGAAACTAAACGTTTATTTAATGGGGCCAACTTGTGCCCAAAACAAAATAGAGAAAGGCTAGCGTCGCAGGCGTCGATATCGGCGAAACAGCAGGATTGAGCGCTAAAGCGAGGCTGACAGCGAACCAAAAAAAAAAAAAAAATTGGCTTGTTTTTGCATGTTTATACAGCCTTGATGATGGTATATACGCCTCAACGGGTGACCGGTTGCTTAGCTTCCTTTACGTCGCGTAGAAGGTGACGCTACACCGTCTGTTGAAACAGGCACCGCGAAGCATGTTACAGGGTGGCACCTCTCGATCGCTCCGACCCATGGGCATTTTCGGGTGGGTTGTACAAAAATGTATTAGAAATGTTCCATTCAAAACTTTTATCCACCTCTGTGCTTTCGATTTGTCTTTTAATGAACACCCCGTAGCATTTTTAAACTTTTTAATAATAATGCAATTGTGAAGAACGGGTATGTGAACGCCCCATTCATGGCAACCGCGTTAGAGTCAATTTGGTCCTATTTCCCGCATTAAAATAGTGCCACACAAATATTGCATTATGATTTTGCATTCACACATTTCCAGGTGAATTCGCACGTGCGATTTGGTCGAGTGCACCTGTCGGCGACTCTGTTAGTACATATTATAAACGTTAATTTCTGAGAGTTCAAAGAATATTAAATATAGCATTTTTAAATGATTATCAAAATAATGCATATTTATTTGATTGCCCCTGTGTGAGCAATTCTCATAAATTTCTCCCGCTAACCAGGACTACCACATTTCATCCAAAGATGAACAATATAAAGGGCAACACACTGGTAAAGTTTTGAAGACTTTAGCTTTTATAGATACGAAGAAAACAAATCTTTGATCCAGAGCGTTATTGCGGAATGCTCCGTGTTTGCGAGTATATTTCTCTAAAGAAAGACAATAATACTAGTTGATTAATACTTTTTGTCAATCCTCCTAATGCCTAATTTGTCAATAAATATTTCTAGACCCGTAGCCAGAACAGCGTTTCGGGGGAAGCCGCCCGAAATGCCAACGTCGCGCGATATACCAAAACGTGCACGTGACAGAGAGAATGCTGATATTTTTTTTCTCGCAAATACATTTTTTTTAAACAAAAATTTGTTGGTGCACGAAGCCAGCAGAATATATTGTTTTCATCACATAGAAAATGGTCGGCGGACATGGTTGTTCGATTTTATCTGAAAATGCCCTCGAGTAAAAGATGGGAAACTTAGAAGAAAAAGGAGTCTTAGGTAATTTTCATCACAATCATCACTAGCAGCGAGGTTCATATTGGAAAAGCTTTGGCATACAAAATCGGCATTGGTTAACATCTCTTGAAGTCGAGCAGTGATTTGGCTCAGAAAGTCGTAAACCCACTGTGAAGCATCCAATGTCCGAATCGCTGTATCATGAAATTGATATGGTATGATCACAAAGATAGATTGGGTGGTTCATTTGACTTCCAATAATATGTAGGTGCAATATTAATCCTTGCCACCATAAAGCCCCCTTTAAAAAAAAATGTGGGCTATGCACTTCCGGAAAAGTAATATAAAGATTCTCATAATATTTTACGACTGCCGAGTTTTGTAGATATTCATATAAACAAGTGGTTTACTCAATCTGGTAATGTTTATTTACGTTCGAAGAATTATTGGGAAATATTTCTAAGCGAAAATCTGTTTTTCTTAATTTTATATACATTTTGGCAAAATCACACACTTGTAAGCTGACGCAATTTTAACTCGGAATAGATTGTCATCGAAAACAAATAGTTAGGAACTATTACATGATGCAACTTTCATTGTTTAGCTACAGATATGATAAGCTGTCTGGTCGTAAACTTTTATGTTGGCAATAATCGTAATTACGTTAGAGAAAAAATTTGTGGAACATAAAAAATCTTACAAAAACCCAGAATTTTTTTTAACAGTTTGGGTGGGACACGCGTGTTAACAAAGTAATTTACTTGAAAAAAAAAATATTTTTAATGCAATATTGACGGCGCGTAGACGGTAGTAGTCAGTAGTAACCTCCTTTCCACTTGTTTTCTACCATGGCTTGGCCATCACGTTGAGGGGGGGGGGGGGGGAGAGTGTATGACCATCTCGTTGAGGTGGAAAGAGTGTATGACCATTCCGTGACGTCATGGACTTTGCGCGCAGGATTTTAAACAAATCTCGCGCCGTCATTATTGCTCTTAATTTCTTTTTCACGTGAAAATAATTTATTGGCGCCTGTTCCAACGTGACTGATTAAAAAGAAACCTTTTTTTTTCTGTTGAGGGGCCTTTTAAGATATTTTCCATTTGCTTTGTCAGGGAAATGTTTGTTTAGTTTGTTCGTGCCTTTAGTTGATTAGCCATATGTTCAAAAATAACTATATAAATATTGGTTTACTTTTTTGTTTTATTCATGAAACATTCAGTAAATAAGTACCTGTCAATGCTTATTCGGTTTGGTTCGGTTTGCCAACTTCGATCTAATACCCCTGTAACACGGGCACCCTTAGCCGCAGTTAACTCCCCTTTAGCTCGTCTCACGCTGCACCAGGGTTACCGCGCTATACCTCCGGGCTGCTATTTTAGAGCAAGTGAACTGTGCACGTGCACTGCTTTGATGGGGGCACGCGCACAGAAAAGTGCACCTACGCCTAATAGCTTTGACTGCAGTGACACAAAATGTTGTCCGCAACTATTGTGTGGTAACTGTAGCCCAGCGTAACTGCAGTTAAGTGTGCCCGTGTAAAAAAAATATACGTGCCTTGCACCTACGTCACATGATGACGTCGGACACCGGTATCCACCATGCTGGTGGTTGACACCACTGCCCTTCGCAGCGAGAGCAATATGGTGAACTGCGTCGCGCTCGGCTGTAGCAATTACTACGTATCCCGACGATCGTGTGACCGTTTCGTCGGCATGCCACGCGAGGCAGAGTGGCCGTCATGTT